TGCCACCAGAATGTCATTTAGCACCCTAACCAAAGCAGACTCAGTGCTATGGTTTGGTCTAAAGGCTGACTGAAACACATCCAACAACGAGTTGTTGTTCATATGGGCAGAGATCTGACCATGCACAATTTTCTCAAGGACCTTCGAGAGAAACGGGACTTTCGATTATGATCAAAAGGCCTCACATTCTGAACTCAACGTAGGTGATGAGGCCTGGTTCTACAACTTTGCTCCTAAGTCCGGTCACAGAAAAGTCCCCTCTGGTAAACTGGCTGAGAAACTTTTGCCAAAGTGGTCAGGTCCATTCCTGATCACTGAAAACTCTCCGGTTGTGTATCAGATCAAGATCACCAAAAGTAACAAAAATCCCATCTATAAGTGGGTCCACAGGAACCAAATCAAACCACACAAGGGTTCCACAAACTTTGATGATAACACCACCCATAAATCTGATGACCCCACTCGAATTGCACTGTGTGTGTGTGTGTGTGGGGGGGGGGGGGGGGGGGGGGGGGGTCTGTCCGCTCTCCCTCGGTTCTCTGTTTCAAGTCACACAAGTTCTGTTGAGTGTATGTGTGTATAATTCATGTCTAAACGTAACGTACAGACTTGGTTGACTTTGATGTCATGCTGTGAGTTTCCATAGTTCTATGACTGAGTTCATAACAGTTCAAATTGAGTAAATCCACTAACTGTTATGTGAATCCAAATTCAATTGTCATTTATTTTTTAATTTCTAGAGATTTTAGAATTTTTACAATTTTTACACTTTTTATGACTGGTTGAAGTTTATTTTACACTTTAATTTTACAATACTAATCTCTAATTCCTTCTGTGGTACATTCACATTTAGGTTTGATTACTAAAAGCACTGATTAACTTCTTGTGTTTCTTCTTAATTTTTATATTATTCTTTTAAAGATACATTCCATACATATTTGCATTATTTTGATTACCACTAATTACTTAATTATATATATTATAAAACATAGCATTTTAATATTTGACAGTTATGAGCTACTGATTATTTATCTCTTCCATTTTTGATAAAAATTTTGCCCAAAAGCTTTAATTTCCCTTATATATACTATAGGGTTTGTTTATTTTGTTCTTTTGCAACAGTTTTCCAGTACACGTAGTTTACTGAGTCCACTCCTTATAGCTGACCTCTTTTCACATAATCTCCACACACATAGGTACATATAGTCCTAGTGTTTTTTTATTAGTTCTTTTCTATCAGACGCCATCTATGTGGGTCTATGGTCAAATGCCCTGTGTGTGTGTTTTGATACTTTGCTGAGTTTCGCCAGATGTCCTCGCTTCCTGGGATAACATCACTGCTTCATCACCTGGTTCTGCTGCTCTGGATTCCGGTTCTTCTGGAGTTCTGGGCGTCCTAAGGTTTTCCTGCTCCGGTTTCCTGGATCACTACGGATCGCTGGTATCTGGTCTGTTTCTGCTCATGGATCTGGTTTCCTTGTCATCGTGGTCCCTGCCTACAGATTTAGCTAAGTGGGATTACTATTTCCTGATTGGGATCTCTATTGACTATTCTTCTGTGTGGGGGGTTGCTTTTCCTCACTCCCGATGTTTCGGTGCCTGAGAACTAACTCTGTCTTCCTCTGCTGAGTCCTCAGGGCCTCTAAGATTGTCCAATGCCTCGTGGTCCTCTGCCATGACTCCGTGACCTTGGAAAGAGGGGGCAGTTGTAAGGTCCAAAAGGGTGAATTTTCACCTATAGATTGAGCAACATAATAAACTTTCATCTACAGAAATAAATCCACTTTCTATTGGCCTTCTAAATCCAGAATGCGTGTTGACATTCCATGAAGACAAAACATTCAAACAAACATTCTCTCCCAAGGTTCTGCACTCACTGTGAACGCCAGATGTCAACATTCTTCATTCTGAACAAGTGAAGACTCCACGATTTCATAGTTATACGTTAAATAATCATATGTGATGAATGAACAAGATGTTTAAATCAAATGTTAGAATAATCTGAGCTTAAATTAATGAATTTTAAATGAATATTGTCCTTACAATGATCCATTTATATCACAAATCAGTATGCGTTTGACTTAAGTTAATCATTGTTTACACTCATACAAATCACGAGTTTTGAAGATTCTCATTCACAGTGTTAAGACTTTTGTATCTGAAGGAAGGCGTGGCTTTCTGAGGGATGTTGGTAAATACTCAGAAACGTGTCAAATTCTGATTTGCCAAACTTGGCCAGAAATTATAACAAAGTAGTTTAATAAAACAAGAATTACTTCCCAAGTAATTCAGTTTCCAGCTGAGCCCCGATTCAGCCATATCGGGAAAGAAGCCTCTTTTGAAACAATCTCCTTTGACCTTGAGTCACAATCTTTCTGCGACGCTGCAAGTGATTACAAACACAACAGCTCTTCAGTAGGGCTGCAGCTATCGAATATTTTTGTAATCGAGTACTCTATCGAATATTTTTTTCGATTAATCGAGTACTCTAATAAATTACCCTTTTGTATTTGTAAACCATTATATCAAATAGCATGTTATAATTATGAAAGACCTGTTAAAATGAGCAAGCAATTGCCAGTTATTCTTCAAGTTTTATTCAAAATTAGTTTTCAAAACTTCAGCACTTCAACTTTACTTCACAGTAAACAAATGCCTGTGCAAAAAATAAGTACACAACCTGAGCCGATTTTCCCCTCGTGCGAGAATCTGCTAGCCTGCAAGCCAGACAAAAACTAGGAGGATAACTGTTGAAGTAGCGCTGCGGGCGGCTGCGGCCCAAACAGAACCAGAACCGCTCACGGTGCATGCGCAAACAGCTCGCCGGCTGTTCCCTATTAACACAAATCCGTTTTAATTTCAACACTTTTTTCTCACACAATAACAAGGATTGTAGAGAAAGCATGTTTGCCGTGGTTTTGTCAAATTATACTGATCACAAAACATTTATTTACTTTCTTTCGTTTTCCTCTCATAAATACCCGTGTCCTCCTGCAGCAATCCCGAGGGACAACAAACATCAATAACACAATAAAAAGTCCTACGTTTTGTGTAAAAATGCTATTTTTTAGCACATTTTAAGTCTGACGTGTTGCTACCAGACGTACGGTGTGAGCTGAAACTGAGTGCTACAACGAAAAATTCGCACAGTGTCCGCAGAATATATAGAAATACAGGCTAAAAAGCATTATCTTGTAGAGGCTCCGAGTCCGCTTGCAGAAGAGACATTTACAGGCGCTGCAGCAGCACGGAGGATGTGGTGTTGTGGTAGGCTTAATCCATTTTACAGTATTTACACTGGAGTACGTTTTCCGCCTAACGACGTGAAAAATGGTCCCACATCTTGACATTTTCTGTCTTTTTCGCACTCCACCGGGGTCCACGTTGTCCGCCATGGCTTAAGAGAAAGTTAAGTTACATTCGCTACTCGCGTGTGCAGTCCAGTGGGCATGTGCGTCACTTATTTCAGTCCGGGTGAAACATGACCACGGGCGACTGCAAAGCCACGAATTAATTAAATATGAATTAAACGAATCCTCGAGGCAGAGAATTTGACTCGAGGATTTTATGTACTCGAATTATTCGAGGTACTCGAGGAATCGTTTCAGCCCTACTCTTCAGAGCTACTTCAACTCTCAGACATCCACCTTGGACGCCTAATCTGCAGACCCCGGGTTGCATCTCATGGCCGGGGAAGCTGAACTCAGAGGAAGCTACTAATATCTGAGAATTGTGGTTTTGACGTCCGGTGACCTCACCACTCTGACCGCAACCCTCCGGACTGGCGGGAGCAACTCATACCAGGGTATCGTCAGCCTGCATACTGGAGTCTGATGAGGTTCATAAATAAACAACTCTCTAGTTTATAACAAACAACAAATTATTTTACAGCCAGATTTCACAATTTCTCTCAGATGCAAAGAAACGGTTGCTACAAAATCTAGCTTCCATTACATCACCTCACATTCACCACTTCACATCTCATTATTCATATCTTGGCATGTATCATTAGTTTAGGAAAAAGAATTAAATTCATTTTATAAACTATATACTGACTCTATCTGGATTAATACGAAGTGTGTTTATGGTCCCTGAATAAGCAAAGAACCCTAGAATCTTCTGATTAAACATTCAAAGATCAATTTGACAGTTCATAATTGTATGGAATATCACATCTTATTGGTCATAATTAACATGTATTAAATGCTACAATTTCATGCAGACACTGAAAAAAATTACCACTACCTTGTTCTGCATTTCTTAACCAACACAATGCTCAGTTGGCTAGACTCTGCATTTTATAGATAAAGTTACCATCATTTTAAAGAGAAGGTAAAATCAAACAAGCATGTAGCAAAAATTACAACTTTTATGTGTTTTTGCTAATCAACTCTTCATTTGATCATGTGATGCTGGCAGCAGTGCAGAGGTTAATACAAAGACTTGGGCTCTTACACTGCTGCAGTTACTGTCAGGTGCTGCTGTGACTTGCTGCTGACGCTCATGGTGAAGAGACAGGACCATGAGGGTGGATGTGCTCAGGTGTGGAATCAACACAGCAATTACTCCTAACCTCAAACAAACATGAGCTCAGCCCAGAAAAACATTACACACACACGCTGCAGGATCATCAGCGAACCTCACCGCCCCCCAGGTTGTCAGCTCAGCAAACAACTCTTCATGCTTTTTCTTGATTGGTTTGTAAATTCAGTTAAGTTGGATCTGAAGACAAAATGAGATTATGTCAGATTGTCATTAAGGTTGATTTAATCCGATTTAACCTCCTGAGATATTGACTTTCAATCCTGTTAATGAGTCATAATTTAGGGAGACGCTGAGGTCCTAACTAACCCAATTTGGTATGAGTAAACCCAAAAATTGCACAGCAAACAAGAAAGTACATTTGCAGAGCTTGGTAATCCGAAGTGCGTTCATCAGATGGCCCCGCCCCCTGAGATCACGTGAACACGCTCAGGGAGTCGGATCTCCTCGACTCCTCTGACTAGTCCGAGCGGATCGGAGACGCGCTCTCATCTGACAGATCCGAGAGGAGAGAGAAAAGGTAACGCGTTTGCTACTCTAGAGGCACGAAATAAATTAGTGTTTATTAGAAATAGTTGAGACAAAATAATGAGTTAATCAGATTCTAAAGATCTGCATGAGAAACGGATTTTTGTTTGATTGGAGCAAAGCGGCGCGCTGATTACTAGAAATAACCTGAACGCGTTTATTTAAACCAGCGTGGGAACGATGCTTTTTGTTCTCCTGTTGTGGTCTGGGAGAAAACAGAAGCGCTCTGATCTGAAGACCCTTGTTATTTAGATGTGAATTACTTTCTGTGGTTTTAAAGATATACGCTGTTTGAACGAGATCTACTCTTAAGAAGAGAACTGTTTTGAATTTGGTGTATAGTGAAGTTGTTTGGGTATATTCAGAAGATATGAAGACATTTTAATTATTATCATCATAAACTTTTTTAAATACTTAACATGGAGCCACAATACAGCAGAAACTGATTAAATTTTTTTTAAATATGAGACAGTTTAAAAAAGAACAAAAATCTAGTGTCCCAGCTTTACATTAAGGCATTTCAGAGCTTTGTTAAATGTACTAAAATCCTTGTTTACAGCTAAGATCTGTTTAACTATTTATTTACTATCGTGAAATAAGTCAAGTCTCGTAAAACATATTATTGGCCAGTTTTCAGAGAAAATCCACAATTTATTACAAACTAATTAAACAACGCAACATCATTTATTGACTTTTTTTTTAATATGAATCTATTTCTAGTCTTTGTGTTTTAACTTTTGGGTGAAAAACTAATATTTAGTTTTTTTCTTGCAGGTTAGACAACGATGATGGAGCTAATGACCACTTCTCCTCTCTACCCCATCAGTTCAACTGATGAAACAGGAATTAATGACTCTCTAAATTATGACTATGACTACACAGATGATGCTGGCCTCAAAGATGACCACACTGAGCTGAGACAGTCTCTCAACATCATGTCTCTGATTGTTTACTCCTTGGCCTTTGTCCTCGGAGTACTCGGGAATGGAGTGGTCATCTGGGTCACAGGCTTCAAGATGAAGAAAACCGTCAACACGGTCTGGTTCCTCAACCTTGCTGTGGCTGACTTCCTCTTCACAGCATTCCTGCCTCTGAGTGTGACATACACAGCTATGGATTTTCACTGGCTGTTTGGGAGGTTAATGTGCAAGCTGAACAGCACCATTAGCTTCCTGAACATGTTTGCTAGTGTCTACATCCTGGTGGTGATCAGTGTGGACAGGTGTGTGTCTGTGGTGTGGCCCGTCTGGGCCCAGAATCACAGAAACGTCCGCAAGGCTTCCTATGTGAGTCTGTGTGTTTGGGCTCTGGCTTTGGTTCTGAGTGCTCCGTATTTTGTGTTCAGAGATACCGCACCAGCAGATTACAACGAGGACATAATTCACTGCTTCAACAACTTTGCTCTCTCCAATGACTCCGAAGCCGAATCTGAGCTTCAGCTACAACTCGTTCGCCATCAAGCCATGATCCACACCCGCTTCCTGCTGGGGTTTGTCATCCCATTCAGCATCATCGTCTCCTGTTACGCCATCATCATCCACCGACTCAGGAGAAACCGCACCCTGGCCAACAAGTCAAGTCGTCCCTTTAAGATAATCGCTGCCATCATCATCACTTTCTTCCTCTGCTGGGCTCCTTTTCACATCTTGAGTCTGATTGAGTTGGTCAGTCACATGACAAATTACACCAATGAAACTCTCAACCACATAGTGATGATCGGAGTCCCCATTGCAACAAGCCTGGCCTTCCTCAACAGCTGCATGAACCCACTGCTGTATGTGTTCATGGGCCAAGACTTCAAGGATAAAGTCCGTAAATCCATCCTGAAGGTGTTGGAGAACGCCTTCCAGGAGGAAGTGTCTCGCTCCTACACCTACACAAACTCAATGATCACCATACAAAGCAAGGACAAGTCCTTCTCTGATGTTCAGGTGTGAAAACACACAAAGACTTTAACTGTACAGTCTAAATGTTACTGTTGATATTTTCATCTAAAGTATTTTCTTACACTTTTTGTTCTGCGTGGCATAAAAAAGGCAAGAATTCATGCTGCTGCAGTTTTACCCTAAATTATAACCCTAACATACAATCTGCACTTGCATTTCCTGCACACCATAAAAATGACGCTGTGGACTCTGTGTTTACGTGCTTTTTCTGCAGAATAAATGTGTTGCTCACAGTAGGTTAATCTCCCAAATTCATCTTCACCAATAACAGGATAAGGAGAATATAAGCACATGACACTGTTCACACAGGCCCAAATGGTCTAACTTAGCCAGTGTCAGCTGTTATTAGTCCATGACATGTTTTTTTTATTTCATAATTGCATTTTATGCTTTTTTTTGACTGTATAAATTGCTACTGGCATGTATAAAGGCAGCATGTTATCCAAAAATGTTAGTTGTTGTGTAATAAGCTTACAGTGAATTCTTTTCCTTTTTATGGTTTGTCTTTATCTGTTAATATTAAAGTGTATTTTTAAAGAATGTATTTTGTTTCATTAGTCTACATCAGTAAAAATCATCTACTTCCAGTTTAGATAAATGATGGTTTCATCCGATCATCTGTCAGATTTTACATCAACAGAAGGTTGACAGGTGTAGCGTTGGAGAAGGCCGTGGAACGCAAAGGTTCAAACACTGTCCACAGACTGCTTTATCAGTGTGCCACAGGTTAACTGACTGCTCTTCAAACCAGAGAGCATACTTGCCACCAGGAGGTACAGCCATCACAACATCCTCTATCCTGTTTATGCATGTCTGCAAGACGAGGCTCTTTATAACTTTAATTAATCTTATTTGGTCTCATAAATGGTCTCCTTACATTACAAGTTATTTACAATCATGTCCTACATAATCTACAATTAATGTTTTATATAAATTTATTTAATAATGTCTTGACTGCTTTACAGTATTTAATTAATCTACATCAATGTTTATTATGTAAATGCCTGTTTTCAGATCTTAAATACACCAAATTAATCTACTTGATGATTTAATAATGACAATTATCAGTCATGCCACATACTGATATCAGTATTAACAAATGACTGTATATCATATTTAATTCACATAGTAATTGAAATAAGCTTTTCTAAGTGACTGAGAAAGGGGAGGTCTGAGGACTCTTTGATAACATCTATTTCATTTTCTGGCTTCTGATTTGTCCAAAACTTATAAACAACAAATCTTTAAAAGATCAGTCATTTTCTCTAAAAATCAGTTCATGCAAAAGCTTCCAGCTTACGCTAAACGACCATCCTATGGGAAATCAAGCCAGATTTTCCTGTGAAATATTTTTTGCGGCATAAAGGACCATTATTTTTCAGAATCAACCAATTATTTGTTTAATCTGCCAGACAACTCATCAGATATGAAACAGTCCACCAGAAGCCACCTAGGAAGAATATTTTGACCAGTCATTTTCTGAGGGGGCCCACGACACTCAGATACATCAGAAGTCCACTCATTCGCTTTGCCCACATGGCTTCGCTTTTCCAACCAGATCCAGAGAACGTCCACTACACTGGTACGTAGGCTATTCACAGTGGCGTTGGATGGGTTAAGATTAATTTGATTTCTTGTTAGAACTCATTAAACATTCAGCTAGAATGGTCTTATAAACCCAGACATCACATCTTTCCGAGTCACTTAATTAAGCTCTTATAACATATACAGTCATGATTCACCAGTTTCTTCATTGTCTCATTTGATATTACTTGAATCACCATTTATAATCATGAACGGCAGTGACCAGTAGATGGTACTGTTTATTAAACAATGCAGTTTAAAAATAAAACAATGATCACTAGGGTTGGAGCTTCCATTATCCTTCAATTTGCATGAAAGATTTTTTTTTTATTTTTGCAATACTACTACAGAATATGTAATAAAAGAAAACAAATAAACCCCAGAAAACTTATTGAGAATTAGACCATGAAAACCTTTTTAAAATGGGTCGACTCAGCTCTACAACAGGCAGCATCTCACTGAACCACAGTTCAGAACTAAGTTGGGTAGCTGATTTTCAAATCAGACTTCATAGTATCAGCACCATCCCAAGGTACACAGGCATCTGAACAGAGAGCGGAAGCTGAAAACATTTTGTAAGAGTGGATAAAATTAATTATATCACTTCTTTTTTTCTTTTTCTTACATCCTATGTCACCAAGTCAGTGTTAGAGCTATTCATGAGATTCGGAAAACTATTCCACAGTCCAGCCAAACATTTTGATTAGGGGCAAAAATTGATAAGTTTTCAATCAATTTCAATGCCATTGTCAGTTCTTTCCATCAATCCATATCCTTATCAATTTCCTTATCCCGAGTAGTTCAAAAGGTGGCAAAAAGATATACTGCACACAGTCTCCTGCAATATTACTGTCCAGGGCCGGATTATCATTGCATGGGCCCCTGGGCACAAAGTACAACAGAAAGTAATGCAGGATTATTAAAAAGAGTATACAGTTATTGAAAAGTTTGCAAAAGAAGAAATATCTGCATGTTTTTTGTTTGTCTTCTGTCTCCTTCCTCCTCTTGTCTCCTCAGGACTGCAAGTGATGAAAATTGAGTGTGTCTGTGTGTGTGTGGGGGGGGGGGGGGGGGGGGGATTAAAACTGCGCCCACATTTTCTAAGTTAACACACATTTCTTTTAACAACGGTAGTTTCTGCATATTTACTGTTCCCCAGCTGCTTCAGCCCTCCCCCACCCCCACCCCCACCCCGCGCAGAGGTCGCAAAGTCACTGATTCGCCTGCAGCCTCTCGGAGTTCCTGCTGCTCTAAACATTAAAATAATTATTTCATTTTCTGTTCCTCACTTCTGATTACCTTCAGTGGTGTCTGTTTGTTGCAACCACCAGGTACAAAAACTAGCTTGTTTTTATTTGACTATTTTTCTGTCCTGTCTGTTTATTATCTTCCTGCATCTCCTCTCAATCCTAAAGAAAAACTGCTACCTGGTTTCATATATATTCACCTTATGAGTTACCTTTGAACTGCAGTTCTAAAAGATCTACCGACCGCTGAAACAGCAGACTGCGCACCGGCCGCACCGGTGAGGTGCGTCACCGGAGGACAAAACAGGTGATGCACCCTGCTCCACAGGAAAAGGAAAAGAAAGTTAACACACAATCGTTCATGTCGGCTCATTTCTTTTTATGTTTTCTGTCTTTTATTTGTGCCCAATGCGTTTCGCTGCTGTGGAGCAGAGCGCATCACCTGTTTTGTCCTCTGGTGATTTCACCTCACCGAAGCGGCCAGCGCGCGCTCCCGCTATTTTTGCGGTGAGTAGATCATTTTTAACTGCAGTTCAAAGGTAACTCATGAGGTGAAAAAATGTGAAGCCAGGTGGCAGTTTTTCTTTTGGACTGAGAGGAGATGCAGGAAGGTAATAAACGGACAGGACAGAAAAAGAGTCAAATAAAAAACAGATTGGTTTTTGTACCTGGTGGCTGCAAGAAACAGACACCACTGAAAATAATCAGAAGTGAGGAACAGAAAATGAAATTATTCTTTTAATGTTTAGATCATCAGGAATTCTGAGAGGCTGCAGGGCATCAGTGAGTTTGTGGCCGCTGCGCAGGGGGAGGGGGGGGGGAGAGGGCTGAAGCAGCTGGCGAACAGTAAAGATGCAGAAACTACCGTTGTTAAAAGAAATGTGTGTTAACTTAGTAAATGTGGGCGCAATTTTAATTGCTTGTCAACTTGTTTCTCCAACATTAAGACTGCTGCGCACACACACACACAAAAAAAGACTGCTGCTCACCTGGGACCCCTTGTGGCTGTGGGCTCCTGGGCCTGTGCCTACTTTGACCATATTACTGTCAGTTTAATAATGATAAATAATCAATTGTACCTGGTATCGTTTGGAATGATCTTTCCAAATGTTCAATTAATGCTCGTGAAGGCAGAGCCATCTTCTTGTTCGGTGTAATGTTGATGTAGCTTTTAGAAAATGAGCACAAAAAATAAATAAATAAATAAAAAAATGAGCAAAATGTCACCACAGGTCGACTTTAGTCGCTGTAGTCTGCTAGTGCGGAGGTGTATTTATAAGGCAAATGACACGTGTTTGTTGATTATTTACTACAGTAATAACAGGAGAGGACGTGTTACCGTCTCTGCTGTTGCTGCTGCATTAAAATGCACCAGTCTGGAGCAGGTCAAAAACATGACTGTAAAGGAGGGTTTGGTTAAAGCTAGCTCTTTCCAGGTGAGGTGGCTATCAATATGGTGTATCTGTTAGAATACAGGTAGAGGCTAGATGCATCCTTTGCTGTAGATCCAAATCTTTAATCTTGGTTGATGGTAATCATTAACAGCATTGACAACAGTCTGAAACAGTAAACATAATTATTAATGAACCTTCTCATTCAATACAGCAAGGGGGAATGAGGCAAAACACATTTATCTTAATTAACCAACTTACAATCTAATAGAGAAATTCAAACAATAGCGCCCTCTTGTGGCTAACTAAGATCGCCATAACTCACTCATGTGACACTGTCAGCCTTTACTCACTAGAGCAATTATAAGGTGGAACTAGAAATGAAATACAACAAAATAACTCCTCATGTCATTAACATCAAGGCAAACCAACTTTAAATATTTTTTCATAAAAGGAAAGAAACGTGTTGGACATAAACACTTCAGTAATTCAATACTCAACTAATATTCCATAATTAAACGGAGGAACTTAATAATGCAGTCTTAAACATGAAGTAAAGTGACTCACTTTCTTGCATTAACATAATGCTGTCAACATCAACATGACTTGCAGGAGAAGGAATGCTTGTCTCACACGCAGGTAAAAAAGGAAAGAAAAGGGAAAGTTCTAGCGCTGGAAGTGAGCTCACTGTGAAAGGCTCTTCAAAATAAAGGCATGTCACTTCCTGAATTCCCACCAAAATAAAACCAACAAATTTAATAAAGGTAATATATGAAATTCTGAACCTTTTATACAGCCGCCCCCAAATGTGTTCACACATTTGCCATAATAAACATGTTAATTATTAGATGGGGTCTGTTTGGTTGTTGGTTGGTCTTCTCCTGAAGGTAGCAATGGAAGAACTACCATTCTAGCAACCGGTCTGGTGTACAAATGTCCTTTGATGTACACATCTGCAGATCTTATGCAGCCATCTTCACTACGGTGGGTCTTAACGACATATCCAACTGGCCATAAAGCTCGTGGCATCTGTGGGTCCACCAACATGACAACTGTCTCCTTCAGGAGCTCAGGAGAAGAAGATTGCCATTTTAGTCTTGTCTGCAAGTTAGGAAGGTACTCTTTGATGAACCTAACCCAGAACTGGTCAGCCAGGATCTGGGAGTGTTGCCAGCGTCTACGGCTGAGGTTCTCAGACTTCGGGTAGACTACTTGAGGCAATGACCCATCAGGCCGCCCCATCAGGAGACTGTTGGAAGTTACTGGGTCTACATCAGCGATATCTGTGGAAACATACCCTAATGGTTTAGAGTTTAGGATGGATTCCACCTCCAGAAGGACGGTGAGAAGGACCTCTTCATGGATAGGTTGAGAGCTCACACAAACTCGGAGGGCTGATTTCACAGAGCGTATTTCTCTTTCCCACACACCGCCAAAGTGAGGGGATCCTGGGGGATTAAACTGAAATTTTATCTTTCGCTTGGCAAGGTGTTGCCGCAGGTCATCGGCCATGTTTGAGAAAGCCTCTTTAAGTTCTCTTTCTCCTCCTCTGAAGTTGGTTCCTTGATCCGACCACAGTTCAGCAGGTGTTCCTCTTCTGGCAATGAACCTCCTTAGAGCCATGAGGAATGCATCAGTGTCTAGGCTACTCAGGAGCTCTAGATGCACTGCCCTCATGGTCATACATTTAAAAATGATTCCCCATCTCTTCTCATGTCTTCTTCCTATCTTAACTTGCATCGGCCCAAAACAGTCCACCCCGGTCGAATAAAAGGCTGGTTTAAACAATCTTAGCCGAGCAAGAGGTAGATCTGACATCTTTGGGACAGATGGTTGTCCCCTCCAACGTTGACAGTCAGGGCATGTCCGCTGTCGTAGCCCAAAACCTCCAGTTGCCAGGATGCTCCTCAACCTATCCACAAGGGACTTTGCTTCTTCGGATGAGCCAACACTCTGTAAGCAGTTGTCAACATAAAAACATTTCTCAATGGAATCACGTAGGTCTTCCCCTGGCTGAGTATGGTCTGTTACATTACGCTGCAAAGCGTACGTAGCGCAACATGGGCTAGAGGTTGTCCCAAAAGGTAGGACTTGCCACTCGAAGGTCTTTGGGGGCTCATCTACCTTCAGACTTCGCCACAGGAATCTCAGTAAGGGACGATCCTCAGGTATAAGACGAACCTGATGAAACATTCCCTTAATGTCTCCACTGACAGCTATTGGACGTTCTCGGAATCTCAATAAGACTCCCAACAAAGAAGCTCCAAGTGTTGGGCCAGGTAGTAGGAACTGGTTAAGAGATTGTCCAAGGTATTTGTGTGAGCAGTTGAAAACTATGCGATTCTTCCCATTGTGGGTGACGAGATGGTGGGGGATGTACCAGCTCTCCTTTGATGGTTTCTCCTCAGAAACCTCCTTTACAGCACCTGCATCATTTAGTTTCTGCATTTCAGTCTTATATGCCTCTGCTCGACTGTTCTCTTTCAAGAGCCGTCTCTCGGTACTTCGAAGCAAAGGCATGACAGATTCCTTTGGCGCCTGCAGGAGTGGCATGTGGTCATGACGGAGGAGGGGTGTAGCGTACCTGAGAACTCCATCCACCATGGTAAAAACTGTCTTATTCTCGAGCAGTGCTATAGCCTGATGGTCTTGCTTTGATCGTGTTACAGATTTCTCAGATCTGTATGGTACAATATCCACTTGCCAAAGTCTCTCACCATGTGTAAATAATTCTTCGGCTCTGGTAGAGGTGTACAGACAAAGGGCGGGGTTAGAGAGCCGCCCCATGGAAGTATGCGGGCCTTGGAGTGTCCACCCAAGTTTGGTGTGAACTGCTGCTGGGCTGCCAGGTGGGCCGAGTCTGACTGGTTCAGTAGGGGTTATCAAATGAGGCTGGTCTGAACCAATGAGGAGCAGTGGCTTAGCATCCTTTAGAGCAGGTACTGGAATCCCACGCAAGTGCCCAAACTTCCTTTGAAGTTGTTCAACAGGATACGTGTGGTCCGCTAAGGTCAGTCGATTAGAGGTAAACGCCCCATCAATCTGGAAGCTGCAACTAGGTTCAGTAGCTGAAGAGAGTCTGAAGGACACAGTGTGACCTTGCAATAACTGAATGTCCTGACGTACTGTACGGAGAGGAAGGTTCTCTGGGGTGCCTCTCAGACCAAGAGCTTTGGCTGCACCAGGAAGTAGCATTGTCCTCTCTGATCCGTCATCAAGTATTGCAAAGGTATTTAGGGCTCGTGTTCCAGAGCTAAGGGACACAGGTACCACCTTCAGCATGACACGGTTCCCAATGCTTGGTCTGTCAATGTAGAAGAAATCCGTGGCTGAACTGGTTAGGCAGCTCTCCTCACTCACAGCTACGTCTTGACTGGCCTTTTGGGTTCTTGTGTTAACCTCGTGGAGTGCCAGTAGGTGTTTTCCTTGACAGAGGCTACAAGGTTTCTTTAGCGTGCACTGTGCAGCTAAGTGAGATCGTGCACATCGCCAGCATCTTTTGTTTTCCTGAATCCAGTTCTTTATTTGTTCCTTAGAGAGCTTTGCAACATCACTGCACTGACTGAAATAGTGTTCAGTGCTGTCACAATAAGCGCAGAAAGCTTTTCTTTTGCTTGCTCCATTTGTTGCACTTTCCTTAGATGTCAGCGAACTAGTTCTCACAGATCCTTTCATGTTATGGAGCACTGTAACTGTTTGTTTACCAGTTCGCCCTTCATACTTTGAGCTGTTTCTCTCTCTACCACCCTTTCCTGTGGTCTGGCTGTCAAAGCCCTGACACCATGATTCATAATGGAGCCAGTCAGAGAGGTCATGTAGGGTGTAGGATTTCCCAGGCTGTTTGAACTGGTGCTTTTGAAAGTCAGCCCGTTGCTCAGGAGGTAGCTTACCTAAGAGTCGAGCTACATGTGACCCACAGTTAAGTTCTACTTGTCCTTCCGGGCCTAAGGTTTGTAACAGGCCTACTAGGGACTGCACCTGGAGGGAGAACTTCTGGAAAGCTATTAGATCACCTCGCCTTATTTCAGGACCGTCAAGAACACTTGCTATCTTTTTTAGGGCAAGCTGATGTGGTTGTCCAAATTTGTCATGAAGAGCAGCCATGGTGTCGGTGTAAGGGTTGGGTGAGTTAAGATAAGCGTCAGCAATAAGCTTAGCTTCATCTAGTCTCAAATTGTCCACAAGAATTTGATATTTGAACAGCTCTGTAGCGTTAGAGGGCAGCAAGTTTTCAAGTGCAATGCGAAGTCTTGCAAACTCGCAGGGGTCTGAATGAATAAACTTTGGTATGGTAGGTTTAGGTCCTCTATACACTACCTCAACTGTAGGGGTAATATCATCTCTGCAGCGGGGTTGCTGCGTATGACTGGCACCTGTAGCTGTAAAGGAATGTTTGGTAGCTGAGGGCTTTCCAGAAAAGAAGTCTAAATTGGTTGGAGCTGGGTGGGAAGAGGATGCCAGGTAAGGTGCAAATGTAGGATGCATTACCTCACTCTCCTTAGCAGGAGCCTCAAACTGGGCCGTATTCTGGGTAAGCTGGGCAGGCTTGTAGTGTGAAGGGGATGCACCTTTGAAAGGGGAAGATCGCTGGATTGGTTGAAAATCTTGATCCATGGGTTTGAGGTCATATAAGCCACTGTTTTGGTCCTCAGGTTCTGGCCATGGTGGAGGGTCAGGCCACTCTTCTTCTTCTTCTTTCAAATCGATAGTAGGAAAATGGCTTCTAGGTCTGTCTATGCTATCTTGTGAGGGGGTATGAGAGGAATGTTGTGGTGCAGCTAACTGATTCATGTCCATTCGCAAGGCGTTTGTGGCTTCGATTAGAGCTTTAATTTCAGTCCTCGCTTCATTCAGCTCCTTCAAACCATCTTTCAACTCCGTCTGTGCTTGAAGCAGCTGTCTTCTCTCTTCATGGGTTGCTCTAAGTTCTGCATGCAGAGACAAGGCTGATGGGGATTCCTGAAAATAGGGAGTTATAGGTTCAGTGCAGGGATCTCTTCTTATTGGTCTCGACAGGAAGGGGGTACCGTGGGGGATATCTCTCTTATAGCTAGAGGGGGGAGAGAATGAAGTAGGCTGGCTTTGGCTGTGCTGCAGTTCAGGATCTAGTCTTCTGCTTAGGGGTGGCGGGAGATTCCACTGAAGTCTGTTTCCAGGAGAAGCTCCAGCGTAACTTACTTCAAACCCCTCAAATCTGCTGGGTCGGCTGATCTGCCGTTTAGGTCTCACAGTAGGTGTCATGATCGCAGGAAGCTTCCTGACCCACATGAAAGAATCACCACAAGGCAGGAGGTAAGAAAATATGAATTTGATTTTATTAAATGAAAAAATAATAATAACGAAGGACGCAGCTCCAAACGGGTGCTGGAAAAGCCAACGGGAACTAAGGGCGAACTTAGACGAAGCGGAAACCGGGTCGAGGTCTAAAAATAGAAACAAACACACGGAGGTTAAACCAGGAACGAGAGAACCATAAACAATAGAGGGAAGGGAGGTCTTACGGAGCCAGAACAGTGGATGAATGTGGGGAGAGGGTAGGTCAGGTCTGGTTGATGGAGAATTAGGTTGAGGCTGGATGGATGCGGTTGATGAATATCCAGAGCAGGTGAACGGCGGAGAGCAGATGACCAGGGAAGAATGAGTGGCGAGGCTGAGGTACACACTCCAGGACAGAAGAGAACTCAGGCTGAGACTTGGTAGTAGAACTGGGGAAGGCAGGACAGGTAATTAAACAGGACAAGCAGAGCAAGATTGCAAAAATTGTACAATTTCAGGACAAGGCTGGAAGCTACCCAGGTGAGAGTATCAACCGGCGCTGGAGTGTGGACACGCCACTCCTTAAATCCCCTGGCCTTGCTGATGGGAAATCAGCAGCAGCTGAGGCTCTCCGACACGCCCACCTGCAATTAGACTCAGAGGGAAAAACAGCAGACTCATGACAGTACCCCCCCCTCAAGGGACGCCACCCGGCGGCCTAGCCGAGGAGGAGGAGGAGGAGGAGGAGGACTCAAAGTCCCGGATGAGGGAAACGTCGTCAATCCAGGAGCCGGGGACCCACTGGCGATGTTCCGGACCGTAACCCTCCCAGTCGACAAGGTACTGGCGACCACGACCCCGGGGGCGAACATCCAATATACGGCGGACCCGGTAACCAAGGCCACCATCCGCGAGCCGAACCGGAGGGGGAGGATCAGAAGGAGGACACAAGGGACTGGAGACAACGGGCTTGATGAGGGAAACATGGAACACGGGGTGAACCTTCATGGACGGAGGCAGGGACAGACGCACAGAGACAGGACTAAGGACATCGGAGACAGTGTAGGGACCAATGAATCGGGGCGTGAGCTCCCTGCTTGAGTCCTTGAGCTTGATGTCCCGGGTGGACAGCCAGACCTGCTGACCTGGGACATAGGACACTGCCGGACGTCTGTGTCGATCAGCGAGCCGACGATTGCGGTCAGCAGTACGCTGTAGGGCAGCACGGGTCAGGGTCCAGGTGCGTCGAGCTCTGCGGATGAACTGGGAAGCCGTGACTGGGGAACCAGAATCAGAGGGGAACAGAGGAGGCTGATAACCGAGTGAAATCTCAAAAGGGGACTGACCTGTAGCGGAGGATGTGTGTGAGTTGTGGGCATATTCCATCCACGACAGCTGAGAGCTCCATCCAGTGGGGTTAGAGGAACAGACGCACCGGAGCATGGCCCCCAGCTCCTGGTTCATCCTTTCACACTGCCCGTTCGTCTGGGGATGAAAGCCAGAGCTGAGGGCCACACGGGCTCCAAGCTCAGATGCAAACACGCGCCAAACACGGGACACAAACTGGGGGCCACGGTCGGACAATATTTCCGAGGGAATGCCATGAAGACGGAAAACATGGTCCACAAGAAGGTTGGCGGTCTCTGTGGAGGTAGGAAGGCCAAGTAGGGGAACCAGGTGGCAGGCCTTGGAGAATCTGTCTACTATTGTGAGGATGGTGGTGAAACCTTTGGAAGGAGGCAAACCAGTAACAAAATCTAAGGCGATATGGGACCAAGGATGTGAGGGGATAGGCAAAGGACAGAGAAGACCCTGAGGAGACTGATGATCATTCTTACTCCTGGCACAAACCTGACAGGCATTTATGTATTCTTTGACGTCTCTATAAAGAGATGGCCACCAAAACTTCCTGCGGATTAGAGCCAGGGTCCTGCCGATGCCAGGGTGGATGGAAAATCTGGCAGTGTGGGCCCAATGAATCACTGAACTGCGAACAGTGGAAGGAACATAGGTCATGTTAGGAGGTCCGGTACCTGGGTCGGGGTCTGTCCGTTGAGCCTCCAAAACCTTGTTCGTAATTTCCCAGAACACCGAACCAACGATGCAGGATGACGGTAGAACAGTGGTGGGCTCTGTGTCCTTGTCTGAAGCATACTGGCGAGAGAGGGCATCCGGCTTGACATTCTTGGACCCTGGTCTGTAAGAGATGACAAAATTAAATCTAGAGAAAAACAGTGACCAACGGGACTGCCGGGGATTAAGCCTTTTGGCCTCCTTGAGGTAGGCTAAGTTCTTGTGATCAGTCCAAATGATTATAGGGTGCTCTGCCCCCTCAAGCCAGTGACGCCATTCCTCCAGAGCCATTTTGATGGCCAACAATTCCCTATCGCCCACGTCATAGTTTTGTTCAGCAGGTGTTAAGCGACGGGAGAAGAAGGCGCAGGGGTGAAGAGTGTGATCAGCTGGAGAGACCTGTGAGAGGACAGCGCCCACTCCTGTATCGGAAGCATCAACCTCAAGTGTAAACTGGGAACAGGGATCTGGACGGGAAAGAACCGGAGCCTGGGTGAAGTGAGTCTTGAGAGTTCTGAAAGCTTGGTCTGCCTCCGAAGACCAGGAATAAGGACGTTTTATAGAAGTCAGCTGGGTGAGAGGTGCTGCGATCTGGCTGTAGTCCCTTATGAACCTGCGGTAGAAATTGGCGAAGCCCAGAAAACGCTGTAACTGTTTGCGTGTAGTGGGTGTTGGCCATTCATTAACAGCTTTGATCTTGTCGGGATCAGCCCTCAACCTCCCACTCTCAATCACAAAACCGAGGAACCTGACTGAAGACGAATGAAATTCACATTTCTCAGCCTTGACGAATAAACGGTTTTCGAGAAGTCTTTGTAGAACGGCCCTAACATGGTGGCGATGTTCAGAAACAGAACGTGAGAAGATGAGAATGTCATCGAGGTAGACCGTAACAAACTTATTGATGAAATCACTGAGTACCGAGTTGACTAATGACTGAAATACAGCTGGGGCATTAGTGAGGCCGAAAGGCATGACCAAGTATTCGAAGTGGCCGAGTGGGGTCTTAAAGGCGGTCTTCCATTCATCTCCCTCACGGATCCGAACCAGGTGGTAAGCGTTTCGCAGATCTAGTTTGGTGAAAACGGAGGCGTCGTTGACTGGATCGAAAGTGGATGACAGCAAGGGGAGTGGGTATCGGTTCTTAACTGTGATTTGGTTTAGAGCTCTGTAGTCAATGCAAGGACGCAGGGAACCGTCTTTCTTAGTGACAAAGAAGAACCCTGCACCCAGTGGGGACGTGGATGGTCCAATGATACCAGCGGATAGAGACTCAGAGATGTAAGTTGACATGGATTCTTGTTCTGGCTTAGAGAGGTTATACAACCTGCTGGATGGTAGTGTGGCTCCTGGCAGAAGGTCTATGCAACAGTCAAAAGGTCTGTGGGGTGGCAGGGAGGAGGCGTGGTCCTTACTGAAAACCAGTTGCAGGTCATGGTACTCGGGAGGAACACCGGATAGATCGGGCGGTTCAGGAATGTAGTCCGTAGAGCCTCCTACAGGAATGGGTGCAGATGACAGACAGTGAGACAAGCAGAATGTACTCCATGAGGTTACCAGACCTGAGCTCCAGTTGACTTGGGGATTGTGAGTAGCAAGCCATTCGTATCCCAGGACGACTGGTGACTGTGGAGAGGGAAATGCATAGAAAGTGAGGACCTCATGGTGATTTCCAGAAACAAACAGGTTAACGGGAACAGTACGGTGTGTGATCGTGGTGAGGGAGCTTCCATCCAAAGAGGATGCTTCTAGAGGTGTAGCCAGTGGTTCAGTGGGAATCTTCAGCTGCTGTATGACCTTAAAATCCAAAAGGTTCCGTTCACAACCAGAGTCTATTAACGCCGTAGCTGCTAGAGTCTTCTGATTGTAGGAGACTGAACATGATAGGGAGACCCGGGACTTTAACTCTGAGCAGGCACCCACCAGTAATCCCAGGGCTACTGGCGGGCTCGATCTTTTGGTCGAACCGGACAGGCTTGGACCATATGACCCCTCTGACCACAATAAAGGCAGAGACCAGCAGCTCTGCGTCTCTGTTTTTCCTCAGGTGTGAGTTGAGCCCGTCCTATCTGCATGGGCTCAGTGGGTTCTGAATAAGGAGGAGTTGGAGCTAGTGGTCTGGGGCTTTGAGGTGCAGCAACAGGAGGGAACCGGGGACCGAAGGTTCTAGGTCTCTCCTTGAGGCGTCGCTCAATTCTTGTGGCTAGAGTTATGAGGGCCTCGAGGTTCTCTGGTTCCTGGCAATAAGCTAGTTGGTCTTGGATGTTATGGGTTAAGGCCTGCGAAAAAGCGGCTCTAAGGGAGGCATCGTCCAAGGTGGACACTGAAGCCATGGTGCGGAAATCTATGGCGAAATCGGTGACCGTTTGTTCACCTTGGCGTGAATTCCAAATGCGTTTTGCCAATTCCGCGGGACTTTCCGGAGTATCAAATATCTGATTGAATTCTGATAAAAAATCTGTAAGGGTACCATCTAAAAAACCAGGCTGGCGGCATCTGGCTTCAGCCCATTGAAGAGCCTTACCCCTGAGGAGACCAACAATATATGAAATCTTTATAGGATCCGAACAGAAGGTGTCGGGCGATCTGGTGAAAGCTAATTGGCAAAGGAGTAAAAAACTACGGCACTTGCCGGACTCACCGGAAAAGGTGTCTGGTGTGGGAGACTCGGTGACCCGGAAATGACCCGGAGGCGGCGGATCCGGAAGTGACGGAGGAGATGGAGCAGCGGCAGTAGCAGTAGTGGGTGGAGAAACGTGTAATTGGCGAAAAGCCGTGTCAAGCTGGAGCAGACGCTGATTAGTAATAAGTAGTTGTTCCATGACTGACTGAATGGAGTTTTCGTGCCGGGCTAACGTGTCGGATAATGGGGGCGGAAGTGATTCGCTCATGGGTTGGGACGTGTGGCCGGT